AGATGTGGATGTTAATCTCCTTTTTTCTCTTGCATTCTTTTTTTGCCCACGTTGATTTTTTTTTTTTTTTAATGGAAGTTAGCACCGTGGCACTTTTTTTTTTTTGTTATCTGCTTTATTCCTATTTAGCTGTTTTGTTAAAATGATTAGCTAAGGGATTTGTTATAGCCTCCTTAAGCAGCTCTTCTCTTAGGACTAGCTTTTTGCCATCTTAGGATCTCGAGACAAATCCTGACTATTCTAGCCCCCCCGCTTGTTTAAGCGCCAGTGCGCAGAACTCGTTGATCAAAGCAAACAGAGAAAAAGCTCTTGTCAAGAGGGCCGGGTCGAAACGCAAGTAATCGAGGTATTTCTGTGTGCTAGCGATAATGAGAAAGCAAAGAGAAATAAGGAAGGGCTGTCAGAAAAATGGGTAGTCACCAAGTGACTTTGTGTGCCTTTCTTTTTTCCCCCTAGGACAAAATCACTATTAGAATTTGCAACTTACATAGCATAATACAATCTTTTTGTATTTACAGAGTTCTTGGAGGGTTTTTTTTGCTATTGTAATCTACTTTATTTGGTTGCATGTAGCATCTAGACTTCCACAGGCCATTTCAGTCTCCTAATTTCATAATGTTCATCTTGGCTGGGTAGGAGAGAGTTTAAGCCGGTTGTAAATTATGTGGGCAGAAACTGGAAGATAATTTATGTAAAACAAGGAGAAATTATGTATTTTGAAAGTGGCCTAGCAGAGACTGTCTGTTCTTACTATTTATGATAGCTAAAGTAGACCTGAAATTTGTGAGATTTTGCATTATATATGACGTCTTACCTTTTTTTTCTCTCCCCCCCCCCCCCCCAGTTGGTGAGGTAGCTGACACAAAACTGTGCGTGAAACAGCACTACGTGCGCAGCGTTGCTCTGCGAAGTCGCTTGGCAGCGCTAGTGTCCGTCCTTCCCTCTATCTGTGGGGCTTTGCCTGCAGAACTCTTTACTGCTGCATGCCCGGTGGGTTCACGTATTCTGCCCGCGCAACGTTTGCCCTGTCGTTTCCTCCAGGATTCAAATGCAGTAGTCACCCCAAAAGCTTGCTTGAGTAGAAGCATATTTTCCAGAAGAGATTTGGTCTTGTTTTTACAATTTTTCTAAGTTAGCTGTTGCGAAATACTTGATAACTTTAGTGGCAAAAAATACAGCTGTTTTCTTGCAAAATAAAAACAAAAAACTCAGTTAATGATAGAGTATTAGTAGAAGTTGCATATTAAAATATTGCACTATATTATCTCCCCCACCTTTTTTGTTTTTTGTCTGAATATTAAAATGATTGATTGAGTGGTACCATTATGCCATCCGTTTATTTAATGTATAGATTGAGTAAAGTTTGCTGAAACCAGTGATGATTTTAGCGTAACAGCATTAAGGTAATGATAACGCGAAGCGTCTTGGAGACGTACCTTTTATGTTAATAAACGTACCTGTTGGTAAACAGCAATGAGGCGTTATTTCAAACGAACCAAACTATGCTTATCCAGTTATGCTTACAAAATCAGGGAAGGCTGAACTACATCAGAGATTTTTGGGTAGCAAGTTGATATCTAGCTGGTTATTGCTGTATCCTGTCCTACGAGATGGCCATTGTTAGCTAATGGTATTCCTGGAAGCTTGTGGGAGGAAGTGTGGTGTAAGAGGATTTTCATTCTTGCTTGTGGACTTACTGGAATTCTTTACATGTCTGTGATCTGCATTAACTGATAGAGTTTGGTTGTTTTCTCCAGCGCTCGGCTTTATAGCGCATAACAGAAAACTGGCTTAGCCTGGGAATAGCCAGCGAACTTCGGTTGTACTGGTTTGGGCAAGTTCTGCAGTTACAGAAATAAGCTGATGTGAAACTGGCTGTGTATAATCAGATATCTTCTGAAAGCAACTGAGATGCTTGCAACATGAGGCAGAGCAGCTGTCAAAAATGTTTTTGTGCAAATGTGGTTATCTTTATTTTTGGACTAACCCGCATTTTGTCTTCACAGCAGCTATACTTCTGAATGGAAGTGGCTTGCAGACAGAGCTAGAGTTGGCTGCCGTTGGACATGGCTTCAAGCCCAGATTTCAGAACTAGAATACAAAATCCAACAACTAACTGACCTTCACAGGCAGATACGTGCCACCAAGGTATTGTCTGTAAGCTCGTAGATGGGCTCTTCAAATAATCTTTTGACAGTGTATCTTGTAATTTTTTTTTTCTTCGTTGTTGTTGTTTGTTTTCCCTCAGAGTTCTGGTATCCAAGCAAACTATTGCATACTATTGCAAAGGTTAATGAGAAAGGCATCAAGGGCTAAAAGAAGCGTTGTAGTCTAGAGGCATCAGTACAGGTTTGGGAGCCAGGAACTCTTAAGTTCCTATGCCTGTTAGTGACTTTCAGGGACCTGGGACGAGGTACTTCACTTACCACGCTAGTTTTTCCTTCTATAGAAGAGACAAGATTTGGTTGTCGGGAGAGGGTGGTTGGTTATCTTTCTTTTGTGTTATGGGATTTGGTGGGGTTTTTGTGTGGGTTTTCTTTTTTTTTTTTTGTTATTTAAGTGAATGTTTGTTCTGAGGATTAGTAAGTTAATGTTTGTACAGTGCTTTGAACAGGTCAAGGATTAATTATTACTAAAATTCCAATGTGTACAACTCATGTACTAGTTTTTTTTAATCAAACTGGCTAGACAGTGGTAAGTCACATTCCTAAAACATTAATAATCTATCTATCAGTTTAATGGGCTGTTCAGGTCATTCTCATGTGCAAGAAGCCAAAACCTGTGATAATTCTGGTGGATGCGATAAGAAGGGGTCTTAGGGGAGGGCTCTTTGACTCATCGTTTTTTGAGCCTCATTTAGGTTGGTTTGTCTTATGTTGGAGCCAAATGAGCACAAATTAAAAGGAGGTAGCAGATGCTTTGGACTTTATCCGGCTGAACCTGAGACTTGGAGGGAGGAAGAATGGAGAGGAAAATCCCTATAGAGAGCATTTCCTTCTGATCGCATAAAGAATTATTCTCTCTTCTCCTTTTACCCTTAGGGCCCTTCTTTCCATATCCAGCTTTGTCTTTGTCCTGCTCACAACGTTTTCCCAATCATATTTTTCTTAAAAGACGAGCTGAAGAGCTTTGAGAACCTATCCTGCCTCTTTGTCCATAGAAATGGCCAGAGATTTCATGTTTTGCGGAGGGAAGAGAATGTCCATATCATACTGTTGGTCCTAAATACTAGGTACATGGACCCTGTTACAACCAAAAGCTATCAGACTTTAAACGGCATAGGTTTTGTGAACTGGAGAACAGGGAGAAATCAACAACAGAGAAATGAGAGGAAGAGTGTTCTTTTAGTCATGCATTTTCTTCACATTAAGTGGTATGTTGGCTTGGAGCCTAGTCATCTTCCTGGTGGAGATCTTTAGTGACATTCCTTTTTGCAAACTTCATGCCCCTTTTACTAGCTGAGGGGTTCAGAGTATTTGGCTTTATGTCCCTTAGAGAAGATAGACATGTATTTTCTTTGGCTCTGTGTGTTTTGGGGGGAGGGAGGGGGCGGGAAGAGGGATATATGTATTCAGTGTACCAAGGCAGCAGCTTCAGAGGGACGCCGGACACATTGGCTGATAGGAGAGCTCTTTATTTTCATTTACGGACTGCATAATAGTTACACAATATCATTAGAATTTATATGCTGTGATTAATGGTTTCAAAGTGTTTTTCTTGTGTTTTGAGTGGGGGGGAAAAAGTGATTCATAGCCAATTTACAGTGACTTCAAGCAAAATGCCCCACCTGTAACACAAGAACGCAGATGGTTAACTTGTGGGCCGTTTCCTGGTCTCTTACAGTGTCTTCTCCGTCCCTGTGGGCCCAGAAGTGGCAACTCTGGATCTTCTGAGAGTGATTTTCTTTTCTTTTCTTTTCTTTTTTTTTTTTTTTTAAAGGATCGTATGTGTGTTTGTTTTGTTTGTTTGGCAGGTAGATATCTATCTATCTGCCAAGCGAAATAACTACATTTAAAATTTTTAAGAAGTTTGTTACCAGAACCTACTGATTTGTCACCAATTTAACTTTTAGCTCCTAGATAGTTGGTCATCCTTTATTCTTCCTCTTTTCTTCTATGCCAGCTACTGCTTTCTCTTTTCCATAGTGTGTTTCAGATCCCTCCTTTCTTTCCGTGCTTTCTTGCCGTGCCTGTCACCAGAATGCTGCAAATTTGAGAAATAAAATCCAGTGGAGAGAGGTGTGTGTGGGGAGGGAGTTCCCCTATTTGACTGCTTTTCCTGTTTGTCTTCCTGTTCTTCAGATTTCAGAATTCATATTTTAGGCTTTTTAAGATCTTTTTTTTTCTTCTTCTTCTAGTGATCATAGGCTTTTTAGGATCTTTTTCTTCTTCTTCTAGTGATCACGAACTATATTTTTACTGTCTTATATTCTAAAGCTATTGAGCTAGCTTGCCCTCCTATCGTGGCACATTAAAATGAGGGCTGTACTTGAATTTCCTTGAATATAATGCCTGCTCTGTAACTGCTCTGGTCTACCGTTTATAGAATGATACCGATGATGAATGTAGAAGATCTAGTGTTGGCCTGATGGAAATCCAGAATCTCTGTGGGCCTTTTGAGCGCTGAAGCAAGTTTTTAAGCGCTAGCTTTTCTTTTTAAGAGGCTTCTTGGTCGTCAGCTGTGTCTTTATGACTTAAACAGTGGATTAAGTGAGAGACAGAAGGAGAACAGGGCAATTCCGTATTTTCTCCTGGTCTTCTCTTTGGAAGCAAATCGCTTTCTTGTTCTAGGGCAAGTTGCTACTAAGGCAGGAGTAAAAGTGTGAGTAAAACTATGGTATCCTTAATTTTCCGCAGTCTAGGTGAAGTCTGTCTTCCTAAAAGGAATAATACAGGGGTTGCTTGAATTCACACGGTGACAGTCTTCCCTCACTTTGTAATAGAATATTCTGACTAGAAGGAAAAAGCTGAGACGGTGTAGTTGAATGATCCCATTCTTTCAATATCTGCTTAATATTTGAATAGCAGTCAGTACTTCAAAACAAATATGTCTTTTCCCTTTCTTTTTGGAATAAGCCTGCAAAAGTCTGATAGCATTTTCTAAGTGTTGAAGTTACATGCTCAAGATAGTGACAAAATAATGGGACCATCTGAGGAACCATTTTTGACTATTTCAAAGCTCTTTTTGCTTATTATTTTGTTTACTTCAGAACAACTGAGAAATTGCCTAGGACTGCGTTTTGACGTTGTTATCTCTGTCATCTCTCTTGTGGAAAACACAATGGGGCTACTCTCTTCCTATTTCTGTTTCTGAAATTCTTGTTATTTCCCTACCATAAAAGGCTATATTTATCTCTTTAGGAGACTTATGGTCGAGATGATGGATCATGACTGATACCACTTTCGTGCAGATGGTCTTGAAAAACAATAAGATCGACAGAATATTTAGGACGGTTGCCTCTATGAGTATGAAACTGAAAATGCTCACCTGGAAAAAAAAAAAAATTATATATCAGAGAGAGACACAATTCCAAAAAGGCCTTTTATAATTTTATAATAACAGCCTTAATGCTTTGTTTAGGTCAGGGGCGGGAATAATAAGCACTTAAAATGCCCCAGAGAAACTTCTTGGCTGCAAAGACTATAACAAACTTCAAATCAGAGGGTGGTGGTTTCTTACAGGAATAAACCTCTTCTTAAATCAGCAGGCAAACGATCATGTCGTTACTCTAATAAGTATGAGTTTCTGATTTGAATTTTGGCACAGATGTTTAAGCAGTGGTATAATACTGTAGAGGGTTATTATAAGGAATAACAGGAACGATGCAGCTTTTCATTAATAAAAATTGCTAGCATGTCTATATTTTAGGTGTTAAGTATATGTAAAGTCTAGGTTAAGCGCTCCGAAGAGTCGCTGGGAGGGCTTAAGGGGGATGTGCTAGGGTTGACTGCCACTTAAAAATGATTTAGGAGGGTTAATCTGTTGTCAACCAACTGTATTCAATTGCTGTTGTCTAGGGGATGGTGATCTTAGAAGAATTCCCCTTTCCAAAAGACATTTTGAAGAAGCAAATACAATTGACCGACCAAGAAGCTTTATTAAACGCCACAGGGAATTCGCAAGCTGCCATTGAGAGACAGGATTCTTTGCCGGAGCATGATTTTGAAATGTCACCCAGCAGTCCTACCCTGCTTTTACGGAACATAGAAAAACAGGTAAGGTAAAATGAGAACAGAAGGTCCGGTGGAGCCACATGATTTGTTTCAGAAATAGGCAGGTTCCATGGTGGTTACTTAAGAAAGAAAGATATTTCATGCTCCTGAGAGTGGGTGCTCATGAATTGAAGGACTTAAATATGTTGATCACCAGGTTTACAAATAAACCTTCTATTTCAGATGTACCTGTATTGCTGCTTCGATTATATCGAAGCGGCCACATAACCTCTTCTCATAGCTCTCTAAAAAAACTACCTCTCCTTTATAGTCACGTTTGGTGTAGCGTTGCCATAGATTGCGTCAGGAAATATTTGCATGAGATGAAAGAGTGCAGCTGAAGATGGAGGTACGTTGCATTTAGAAACAAACAAACGACAAACCAACAAAATATAATCGTTGATCTGGCCTTTTCAAGTATCGTAGGAGCGCTGCAGTTAGCAGGCCTGGACTGCCACGTACCGCTGCCCTGGCCCAGCGTAGGCATAGCGCTGAGCAGCGTTTCTGTTCTCAACAGTCCTTTCCAAGGTTAATTCCAGGAAATACGATGTCGACTGCGGCAGGGTTGTCTTCTGCTAGAAAATAACGTACAAAAATGTATTAGGCTCGCATTACTGGAGGAGATGCAGCAAACTTGTTTTCAGAAGGTGTTTTATATAGTTAGCGTAAAGATGGTAAGATGCATTAATACATTGCTGCTATACAGAAATTCTTGGTCTCACACACCTTCTTAAAATAAGGTAGAAAAGTAGCTTCAGATAGCATACCTGTTCCTGAATCTCTGTGCCAGTTTTTCTTATTTGATAGTCAGACTTTCCTGCTCTTAAATGGCTTCCCCTGTTTGGTAGATCTTAACGACAACAGACAGGAGTGAGGAGTCAATGAAACAGGAAATATATATGCTCAGGGCTGGCAATTGGTAAAGCAAAGAGCGTTTTTAGAATGTGGTGAGTGGTTACATGATTGCTCAGAGATTTAAAGACGTGGTTCTTTGCAGAAGGTTAAAGTAAAAGCAGTGGTTTCCAGATGTCCAAGAACTTTGGCTACCTGAAAATGACTTGGGAATAAAGGTGCTCTTCGTTTAAAGCATCTCACTAGTGACATCGGTTTTCTCCCTCCAAAAACACCACCAAAAGCTTTGGGGGTTGGTTCGTTTTTTAACGACCAGCTCTCAAACTCAGCCTTGACCCAGAAGGACGAGGTCTGGGCTTCTTTTTGTCCTCCGTTGGAAATAACGATGCCGTAAGCCAAAGCATGTCCGTAGTTTGTTGTTCCCACAATTCCTGGGTCCTATATTCAAAAAGAGTATTTCTTAAAAATAAATAACTTCATTTGTGAAGAAAAAATTGATAAAAATACAAAGTGACTAAGCCTTGCTTTTTTGTTTTAATTCTGTTTTCAAGTCCTCTTCAAAGCTGTGAAGTATATATATTTTTTAAATGCATATGTTTTTCCTTGCATTTTGGATGTCTGCCATTGTTCTGGTGCTTTTACATTCATTTGATAGAGACTTTGCTCCTTGCAGATTGAACGCTGTTCAGATTTTTTTAAGCAATCTGCTAAATATTTTACTGGCATCTTGTTTGCTTTGTTTCGGGCCTTTTATAATTGATGTGCTATTTCTGTGCTTTAATATCCGTCCCTGAAAATATTATTCAGACCTGAAATTTTTACCCGACAGCATCACTTAAACATTAACGGAAAAGACGTGACTAGTAATACAATGGAAAATATTTTTTTTTCTGCCTCTTTCTGCGTGAATGGTAGTGCCTGCAAATGTAAACAGAACTTCTTATTGGGTAATCTTTATTAACTCTTGTTTTAAGCAGTCTCAGTTCTGAGTTGATAATCCCACAAAATAAAGGTTTTAAACGTGTGTATGCCATGTCAGTACACTTCATTTAGGTTTTAGTATGCAGCTGACAGTTTCCTCTGAGTAAACTACTGGCTCCGTTTATTGCGGGACTAGCCATTAAGGTTTAACATTTAGAACCAAAACATTGTGAAATGTTATCTGGAGTCAGGCCACAATTCCTCGCTTTATGAGGAGTAATTCTTAGTCTTAACAAATGAGCTGCGTTTGCTTTGAGGAGGGGCTGTTACTAGGGATGCTTTTCGCTGTCGTTTTTGAGGACGTGAGAATATTTTTGGCCATTCAGTCTGTAGTTGCAATAGTCCTCCTGCAGTTACTGGCTTTTATAAAGCCACCTTTGTCAACTACAGTAGGCAACGAAGAGGATTCTTTTAAGAAGAAAATTACTTTGAGGCAGCGAAGAGTACAATAAGGAGACAGCAGATCTTTTTCCTTTCGAAATGATCTCTGAAAGGCCAGTTAACAGGTTTGAGCTGCAGCTGTTGTAAGATCAGCTGTAAAAATGTTCTGGTTTCTTCTGCCTTTTTAAAAGTCTTTTGTTCAAATACGAAAGTCACTAATGTATTTTGTATGCTACTTATCCAAATGTCTGAAATATGTCCTTGGCTGGTAGTTCAGCACTCTTTTGTTTGTTTGTTTTTTTGCTTTTGTATAGTTGTACATAATAGTGAAAGAAAAAACATGCCATTCTTGATTATTTACAAGCAGAAACTGAATACGATTATTCCGTGACGTATGAGTCTGGAATCCCAAGTAGGAAAAACAGAACAAAACCCCAGAACTTTTGCGCTGTTCAGTCTGGGTAAATGTCTGACTACATTTTTTTTTTTTCTTTCAGAGTGCACAGCTGAGTGAAATCATCAGTAGCCTAATTGCTCCACTCAATCTGTCTCCAGCTTCTTCTCCTCTCTCATCCAAAACTTGTAGACACAGACAGCTGGTCAATGGCATCTCCTTCAGGTAGGCGCCAGTATGGTGGCGTTTTGTTTGAGAACAACTTCCGGTAACGTTACGTGGATCGCACAGATAAACCTTACAGTAGTAGATTACGAAAAGAGAGCTGTTTCCTGCAGACTCCAAGGGAAGGAAAAATGTTGCTTGTAGAGTTAAAAGTAGTAGGTTTTGATTTTTCTTCCTAAAGACATCATAAAATTACACAGGTGCTGTAATTGCATGTGAATACTGGTATGATGGAAGTATCTGTGAAGCAGTGAAGGGAAACAGTACTTTTGATTATTTAAAACTTGAGGTAATTTGCCGTCCATCATGAGTACAACTTTATTTCTGGAACAGTGACGAACTAGACTTTAGTAGATGAGTAGAATACATACGCAGTGTCACCTGTGCCTCAATGTGGGTCACTATCTGCATGCCAGCTTCGTTAATTTTAAGCCCATCTTCAATATGAAGCAAAATTTGTCTTTGTCCGCTACTTTTTCAGGATTTTTTGAGAGAATATTTCTCAGTTTTTGGTCTTTTTGTTCTGGATGGATTTACCTGCCGGGAAGATAGTATTATTCTCAAACTGCTACAATAGGAAAATATTTCTCAGTACTCTTCCACACTTGTTAATAATAATATCTTTTATTCAAAGATTTTAAAACACAGTACAGACATTGAACAGTGTTAATCTCAAAACGATATTAAGATACTTGACTAGTGTCCTGTCTCACAAAAGACCTAGGCATGTAGGCTATTCCTCCTGAGATATTGTGAATGTGATTTGTGGGGTGGAGGGGTTGCTGAGTTATTCATAGGTCTTGACTGAGATCAGATGGACAAAGAGAGGGATCACTGTGTGCTAGGGCTGGGCAGTTTACGACAGCGTCTGTAGTAGATGTAATTTCCTGGCTCCCAGCGCCGAGAGAGGCTCAGGGTGGCCGTGCTGGCTGTTGCGGCAGCTTTGCCGCGGAAGCTGTAGCTTCCCTCAAAGATTATATTGAGCAGCTTGGAGGGGCAGGTTCCGTAACTGCCCTCTGTTCCTAAATGACTGGGTGACTGCACCCTGAATTTAAGGATGAAGGAGGTCCTGTCCTGTGTTATTCATGTTCCTGACATATCGATCATTTACAAATAAGGTAAGGCAAAGTCAGAAGATTCAGCTGAGTCTTGGAATAAAAACAGTACTGAAAAGGAAGTTGCTGTTAGAGGGGGCTATGTGGAAGGAGAGAGGTGTTTAGATTCTTAGAAAACTGTGCCTTGGATCTACGACCTCTTCATGAAGCAGACAAAGAAGGGGTTCCTGCTTTTCAATGTTTTTAGAAGTGTATGAAGTTGGCTTCGTGATAAGGGACTTTAGTGATGTCGCTTCAGGCCACTTCTGCACTTCACTTTCCATTAAGTGCTTACAAGGAACTGTCTAAAACCAGTCCTCTTTCCGTTTCATAAGCAACACAACTGTTTGCTCAGGCAACGCTATCTCTAAGGCTGATGGTTTTCTACTGATGGCCAAAGAGGAATGGGAGGACTTGGAGGACTTTTCTCAGTGCAGTAGCCCTGAACTGGAGGTAGTGAGTTAGGTATTGAAAGGGAATCTAAGAAACTGAGATCTCATCTTGAAAATCAGATATATAAAATTTAGTTTTATTTTTTTCAAGCTATACAATAGAGTAATTTTCACCCGTTGTGAAGTGTTTTGAGGTCTACAAATAAATACTATTTGTTAAAGGTGGAAATTGAGCAGAGTATAACATGTTTATCATGGAAGTCCTGCAGGGAACTTCACTGCCTCCTGCTACTTCTTGTTTCCTTTAATGTTTTTTGATTTTTCTCTTGTTGTTCTCTGTCTTTTTTATTTGTGTTTGTTTGATTTTTTTTTTTCTGTTTTGTTTTGTGTGCAATTAATTCATTAACTTAATTTCTTGGCTTCTTCTCCTCTCACTCTTTCCAGGGTGCTCTCTGACTGTATTATATACTTGAGAGCACAGATCAAAATAAAATGGAAAGTAAGGTGAGTTTTGGATTTTGAAGAGGAAAAATAAAGTATGATAGCTATTTTTACTTAAAAAAAAAAAAAACTTGAAATTATGTGTAGGCTCTTGATATGAAAGATATAGTAGTCTATGTTTAAAGTAGGCCTAAGCATGAGAAACTTTGAGGTCAGCAGTGATGGCACTGTGGCATGGTCTATTACTTGTGTGCTCTTCCCAATCGAATTGGTGGTGTGTATGTGGTTCTTGGTTAATTAAACGTGGGTAACCTTGAATCGCCATTTGTCAGGGTCTAATTTCATGAGTAGATTCCTTTTCTGTGTAGCTCTCCTTCTATTGATTGAAGCTGGATCCCAGGATCAGTTAGATGCATTGTATGAAGGTAAATGTTTGTAGAAGCAGCTCCTTAAGCTGATGACAACTGCTCTCTTATCAGGAGAGAGGACTTAGAAATTTCGTTACTTCAGTACAAACAGAGCCTGTCCTGTGGCTTCTTGTGCATATGTGAATCTGTGAGCAAGGTCTCTGCTCTTTAGCTAGGCTGCCGTGCCAGAAAGGCCAACCTTGCCTGGGAAGCCCGTGTGCCCAAGTGGCAGAAAAGCCGAGATCTCCGCTCCATCTGAAAATCAAGCTGAATGTTACCAAAAGGTGCAGGAGAGTAAACAGAGCAGCTGGCAGAGATCGTAGGGAAATCATCAGAGCTTGGCAGACCACCTGAACAAAGTCAGGAATCGCAGAAATGGAGCCAGGATGAGGAGGTGACTTCTGTGCTAATGTACTTGTTTAGGTTGCCTTTCATGTAAGGAGGAGGTATGTGGATTTCCAGAAGCTGGACTTCATACTGTGAGACATCAAAACAGATAATTACAGAGAAAACGTTTTGGAGATTCAGCAAGTATTTTAGGGAAGCTTTTGCATAGGCTTTAAATACTGTATTTCTCTCTCAACCCTTAAAAACTTGATGTTAGCAAAAAGAATGTGATGCTTCAGTATTCTTGGCCGTTTCTTGACACTTAGTAATATGTTACTTTTAGATGCTTTGTACCATCCCTCTTTTCATTAGCACCTATTTTCTTACTGGGTCTGCTTCGTTTGTTGAGTGTTTCTGATGTGCCAAAAGGATGCCTCAAATTCATGCCCATAAAACTTTATTACCATACCAGCACAGCATGGGGTGGTGTTTTATCATGCTTTTATAACAATTGCTTCTATTTATAGAAAATGTACTGGTGGCAGACAGCTATTTGTCAAAATGGCATTGTAATAAATTAGTTTTCATGTTTCGTTACATGTTATAACTTAACTAAGTGATATCATCCACCTGGGACTTGCCTGATGAAATTCAGGAGAGAAAATAAGCATTCATGCAGGTAGATTGCCTGTTATGAGCCAACAAATATCTTGTGTACCTGCACTTCTCAGGCAGTTTAGCGTTGCAGTCAAGGTCTTCAGTATTGTACAAATAAATGCACACCTGAGCGCTTTTTGCAGCAAGCCTTTAGCTTTGCAGGCAGATGTTGCCACAGCAACAAAATAAAGTCAGGATGACGATAGAAGTGAACTGCATTCTTCCCATTGAGTCATTCCCACCCAAATGGAGGGCGGTTTGAAGTCTTACCTTGTACTGCCCCTTCTTCTGGTGAGCAGACAGGCTGTAGTTTGGCGAGAGTGATCCAAGCTATTATGTGTGTAGTGTTGGGTGGTTGGTTGGTTTGTTTAACTACTCTTGGCTCCGTGTTTGTCACGTAACTTTTATGTGTTACTAAAGACATGGTTTCGAGAAGTGTGCGTGTGGCTAAGCTTGTGGGGGATGATGGTAGACTAGATGTGAAGACAACAGACATGGGGAGATCCAGGTCTGACTGAGGGTGAGTGTTAAACTGTAGCTTTGCATGTGTTTAGGTGGACAGTGTCAGGTAGCGATTGCAGCTGAACTTGCTTTCTTCTCCCCAATCATCTGAGTGCGGGCAGCTTCTAGCTCTTAAAGGCAGACAGACAGACTCAACTCTCGCTCCTCCGCAAGGGCCTCCGTAGGCTGGGCTTTAGCTCTGTTGGAGAAAAGAAGGCAAGGAAATAAGAAAAGAATGAAAACATAAAGAGTGAATTTTCAACAACAATAACTATTTCTAAGAGCTTTTAAGAGCAGCAAATCACTGAAATAAAAAATTGAGGGAAACGCATCCTCTCCTACTTGATCTTGCTGCTTTTTGGGTTGCAATATGCAATGTGCCCAGGCTGAGAAGAATCTTTTTCATACTTTCTCTTTTCACTTGGGGATAGCAGCCCTTTCCCAGTCCAGCGTGCTGCTCTTGCACTATTGAACTATTACCCTTTTTACCAGCCAGGTTTGCTGCTGTCATCTCATCTCCTTAAGCTTATGTGCAAAGTAAATACTGTTCCATGATAACAAGACAGTAGGTTAGACAGACTAATACAATCTGATTTTTCTCAATAGCTTCATTATGGTGGTCTTAAAGGAAGCATCAAATATCTTTACCAAGCAAGACAGTTGTAGCGTTTCTCTAGAAACGAAGTCTAATGGCCTTGTTTTGGTTACACTAAATATGTAGAGTTCCTACTTTTGATGCAGCTGTTTCACGCCAGGTTGCAGCCTCTGTTCTGAATGGGCGCTAGTTTGCAAAGCTTTACTTAAGTTTCAGCTCTTTAAAAAACAAAAAAACAACCTCCAAATAATATGGCAGGTCTCTAGGTCTCCATTTAGGTTAGAGTGACTGTTGTTTTGAATGGAATGCAAGTTTGTAAGGAAATATTAATTGTAACTTAAAGCAGAGTAGATGCTAAAAATATTAGAGATACAGTTCTTGAATTGAGGAAAATCAAGAAATGTTACATGCTTGAAGTCTTAACTTCATTTTGATGTTTTTCTCCGTGAGCAGAAAAGAGCAAGAATGATAAACTTTCTTTTGTAACATGATATAAAATTAAGCCAAGAACAAACAGAACACATGCGTGACTTCCTGAAACAGGAAATGTGCTAAAATATTTTGGTGTTTATAAAATTCTCTTCGATTTAGATGGCTAGCACTAATCAGTGCTTGAAACCTGGGTCTGTGCATCTGAAGCATGTTTAACTTTTTGGATTTCCTCCCTCTGTTAATTATGACATTGCAGAGCTTCGGACAACAGAGAAGTATCCTCTTCGAGTAGCTGGTTGCTTGATCATCAACACATCAAGAAAAGAAGAAGAGACAGGGCAAGACTGAGATCGTTGTCTGTGACTAATGTGAGCACATCTGCACGAACGAGGCCCCTTCATAGCTTCCAGAAGAGGAAGCTCTACAGAATGCCTGGGGCCTGTTACTGGAGTCAGCAGGTGAGCCCTCGCCTCGCTCTTCAGGAGACAAAACCAAGTAGTCCAGCTGTTAAGAGTCTGCATGCGTCTGTCTGGTATGTCAGGAGAATGGCGCATGCTGTGCTGGTTATTTGTTACGTTCAGGGAGCGTGTAGTATATGTGGCAGGAGTACCAGCTGTGTCAGCAGGAGCTCAGAGTTAATGAGTTGAACATAAAGATTGCTCAGAATCCTGCTTATCAAATTGGTTTGTTGCATGGCTATCTTTAAAGTCTTTTCACCTTCTAAGAGCTTTCTTTGGAGGCTTGACTGCTGAGGAAACATGCTGCAATGCAACTCTGCTGCCTGCTTGTTTTTAGAATATTTGCTCTAACTGTGAAAAAGTTTACACAGCTGGCGGCGCATTATTTTCTAGGAAATTAAACTGCACTATCTTAATCTTGTTTCCCTTTTTGCTGTTCCAGATTAGGTACGTTGCCTCTTTCATGACATTTTTATGAATGCTTTAAAACTCTTAAAATTTTGTGCATTACAAAGGAATTAATATTCTAAAGTGGAAGAAAACACTGTCCAACGTGCAATACAGGGCATATATCTGTTCATGTGATATTTGTAGTATATTGTTGTTAAGAACATAGAGTGAATTTAGCTGTTGTGCATAAAGCAGCAGTGTAACTAATTTGGGAGCCAAGACAGCGTGAACTCATTGTTTAGAACAGTGTCGATCCCAAATGGTTTTAAATCCTTGATCTTACTTTGCCTCTTAGAAGCTGTGGCGTAATATAGATGCTTTTGCATCCCAACCGTATCGATTACTAGGGTTTTCCATTCTAATGCTACAGTAAAGGAAGTCACTGGCACTTTTGCAGAGTTACTTTCTGCTCTCTTACTACTTGGTAATGCGTATATTTAAATTACCTTAATTAGTTCTGTTTTTTAACTGTGCCCATGATGCCGTTTTTCCACTTTTCTATTAAGTTTGAGATGGTCTTAAATAAGATAGGCGGAGAATACGACAACGCTTCTGACAGCCCTTCAGAGACAGCGTAAGAAACGCTGTTTGTGAGCAGCTGGTTCCTTTTTAGGCAGTAGTAGATTCTCACTTGTTTCATTACATAGGAACAGGAAGATTTTGAATTTTTATTTTAGTATTACCATATAGAATGGTTAGAGGTTCGGCTTTAAGGTAACAAATATTTATGTTCTAGAGCTTTAGACTGACAGAAATCTCCACGTCTCCTCCAGGATTTCCTAGGTGCACCGTGGACCTGGGGAGAAACCTCCCCACAAGGGGGTTGTGTGCGAGTGTGCTGGTTCAGCGCCTGCTGCCACACTGTACGAGTGGCCTAGTTATAGCAAAAGTCCAGCAGAAAGAAAGAATTTTTATTGAAAAACCATTTCTTATTAGCTTGACTTCCCAGCTTCCTGGCAGTGGGGCTTAAAGACTTGTAGTAGTTTGGCAGCCTGCCTGGAGGGCTGACCGAGGCTGGCAGGGGGTTAGAGTTTGGGAGCTCTAGCTCCTAGGCGCTTACGCTTTTCATCTTCCTCAATTTGTGCAGCCCAGCCATGGGAGTACAAAGCAGAGATTACATCTTCATCTTCAACCACGCCGCTTTGGGTGCTCAACGGCATACCTACACGAGAATCAAAAAGTGCATTTGGAAGTTGTCAGTTATACCCGCTCCAATATTTGAAGCTTTAACCGTCTGCCTGGTGCTCTGGGCGTTTCTGGTGCCGGTTAACTATGTGCTAAGCTACCTCCAGTGGCTCTGTGCTGAAAGTGCAGAGATGTCTAAGGACGGTATGGTTAAAAGGGTCTGTTGTTGAGTGCTGCATCAAAGAGGCTTCCTGGAGCTTAATGAACATATCCTCTTGCTGCTTTCCATTTAAAAATGACACCACCTCCACCCTCCGAAAAACCCCAAAACACTCCCACGCTTAGAGAGATGCCTAGCTGTTTACACTGGTTAAATGGGAGCGGAAGATTTCTTCCATGTAAAGGAATTCTGGTCTAAAAATTTGGAAGTTTAGAGCGTAGATAAAGTTTCTAAATGTTCCTCCTACCGTGCTGTGATCCAGAATCTGATAGTTTTGGAATCTCTACATTGCTTTCCAGGCAACAATTGTAAACTTGAGTTTTAGGTAAGTTTTAATATAACGGACCTTACGGATCAAAAGAGATCTGTTAATCTGCATCTCTTGCTTAGCCTTCTGTTTATTGCCTCTGGATGTCAGCGTCTTCAGGGTGTTTGAAGATCAGATAACCTCAGCGCCAGCAACAGGCTGTGGAAACGCATGTACCGAGATGCATCGTAACTACCGCAGGCTACGCTGACTGGAGCTCTCAGCACAGAAACCTGCGGTTGTGCTCTGCTTTGTAACGTCCTCTCCGCGGGGCAGTTAACCTAGGGGCCGTGGGGAGAACCGCCTCTCAACGCTACCGAATCTGCTCGTGTTCCTGCAGAAAAGAAGAGGTGATGGCAGCAATCAGGCTGTCAGCTTCAGACTTTTTGCAAGCGTCAAACTCGATTAAAGTTCTCAAAATTGAGCTAAAGCAGTGAACAAAGGCTCTTATGCAGTGTTCGTTTAAAAACGGAATAACAGGGATCCTGTGGGGGGAGCGAGCGATGAAATTAGGCTGAACGTTTTCGGCATGTTCTGACAATCTAACTTAAATCCGTATCAAGTCCTTGAATTAAGAGCCATCATCGGTATATTTTTTTCCTGCAAGAAATCTTATTCTTTCAGTGGCCTAACAGGCCCTGTCACTTCCTTAGTCCTGTGCGTGCTACACTTGGTTACCCAGCTGCTGATGAGATTGCTCAGGTTGTAATGGAAGAGCGCTGGCTCTCAGCCCAGGCCGAGTGCCACGTTAGGCAGATTTGTAAGGACAGGGCTGCAAAATGGGGAATGGCCCCTGGAGTTGATAGCTAGTTTTTCTTCGAAGATGCATTTATACTCCTAATAAATAATCCGGCAAATTTCTTCTGGCCTCACGTGGAAAAAGGAGTTTCTTCTTAGCAGGATGGAGAGTAGTTGGAGGGTAATGTTACTGGGCTGTCTCTAGAAGGTGCCCCTCCCATATTTCTTCTAGTTTAAGATCTTTATATAGCCCCCGGTGCCATGCTGTGCCAGGATTCACGTATCTTGAAGGAAATTGGCCTGAAGTAAGCTGGAGCAAGGCTGAAGCCACAGATGGGGAGGTAACAGGGGCCGGCTTGCTGAGGTCCGAGGGGAAGACTGAACCTTCTGAGCACCTCGGCTCCTGCGCCGGTGTCCTCACATCATCGCTCCCTCCTGTGCTGGCCGAGCGCCGCAAAGCTGCGGCGAGAGAGCGCCCGGCAATGCTGTGGGCGATGTGCCTCTGCACCGCAATTGGAGCAAGTGATGGCTGAAAAATTCCGACTGGAGAACTGTAGCAAAATGCAGACTTCCCGTGTTTAAGGAGATTAAGAAGTGCTAGGCTAACTTTGAGGAGTTAGTTATTTGGGGAGAAAGGATGACTATACGTACCCTTTGCTCAGGTAACGGTGCTCAGGATTCTGTCCTTCACATCCCTTCAGGTTCTTCTGGGAGGCTGATTTCCTCCCCCACCCGAATCCATGTTAGGAAAAGGAAAGCGTGAAACTGTTGAGCTGCTGTCCTTTCTGTCAGTTCATAAGGTCACTGGGAAGAGAGCCACATTTTTTTTCCTATCTACTGCCATGCTGCATACATTTACAGTACTGTCAAAAGTTTTGAGTACTGGGTGACCTAGTAGCCCCCCAGTGCCTCTTGAGAGATGCCCTGTGTTGTCCTCTCCTTTGCTGTATTTCTTTTCTGAAGAAGACTTCACATGCTCCTGTAATTCAATAGTGCTTACACCGAGTAACATGTAAAAGAAAACAGAACTCCTGCAAAAGGCAATTGCGAAAATAGATGAATCTCTGAAATTGTCCTGGAACTCCAGAAGACCTGCTAGATCAACAAGATAGCTAGCCTGCAGTGGGGATAAATAAAACAGGATGCAGGGTGTTTGCCTTAACTGTCACCAGTCCCAATCCTCAGAAACTTGAAACATCCTTTGGGGCCAGATCCTCTTGTCCCCTAGTTCAAAATGACTAAGTACCACAGCTGAGCTGTGAGTCATCTTTTGGCTGCGGGATCTGTTTTGTATCTTTCTTCTTTCATTATCTAAATAGCTTGGTAAGAGCTTAGGCCATTTCTTGACCATGAGTCAGTGCACAAGCCATTCTCAAAATAATCCACGCACAGATTAAGCCCTGGGATCGCAATCTCCGTTGCAGAACAGAGGACACTTCTTCAATGTGATTTTTTTTTTTTTGAATGAATATTAAAAACTCGCACGCTGGGTAATACCAGTGAGTAAACTGCAGGCATGCGCCGGTAGGGGAGCGTGTGCTCGCAGGCAGGGCTGGGAGCCCAGCAGTGCTTTGTCTGAAACGCTGGATCTGCTACTCACCTGCACCGCTACAGATGGCGGGTCCAGCAACCTCTGAGTCGTTGTATCCTCCTATAAAACGCACATGATTTAGTTCTAACACTAAGAAAGAGGGCAAAGAATATCGAAACATTAAAACCAAGAGATTATGTGAGTGGCAGATCAGTCCGAGGACTTTAGCATCCAAGAAGGCACAAGCTCCGGTTGGCTCTTTCGCACGTTTCTTGCATTTACTGCAACTCTTCCACCCGCTGTGCCTACTCCAGGGTCTAATGCCTAGGAGCTCCTGCAAATACTTTCTTTTCTACAGTGAGAACTTAAGTATATCTGCCTCTAGCGATTTTTTCCTGAAACTTGAAGGAACTGAGTTATCTTTGAGATCTCAAAACCTAGGTTGAGTTTGTTTAAAAGTAGCCAACAGGTACAAGAGTTGTTACTGCTCGGCTGAGAGGGGTCTTTGCTTAGCTGACATGTCCTGATGATTTCTTTGCTAGTACTTTGCCTTGCGTGCCTTGTGGCAGATATTTTTAGCAATGCATGGTTTTTTTGTGCCAATACATTGTGTTAGTTTCTTATACAGC